AAGACTGCTAACAGGAGCACTCACTCACCTTTGCCTTCCCGATACTTCGGGGTGCCCATGTATAAGCAAAAGGGGAATGATGAGAGACTGAGGGAGAGTAAGGAAGGGAAAACAGTAGCAGTATAGCATCAATACTATGTACTCCCGATTAGTAATAGTTTCAGCAGTATAACATAAATACAATGTACTTCTAATTAGCAATAGTTTCAGTTCAGTCTGTAACTGTAATTAAGCAACTGTAATTAAGGGTTGAATTCTAAGTTTTTTTCTAGCATTTTATATAGTAGAAATTAGAGAAAGCCAGCTATTTACAAAGCAGGAATCCGCAAAGGACAGACATCTCTCATAGACACTGACTCTTTAATTTCATGTGGGTGGTCTGACCTAAACCTGGTAAGCTTTACGCATTTGCTTGTTTGTATTCTGTTTTTTTGTAAGGATCCAGATTTCTGCTTTGCAGTATACAAAATACATTTTCCTTCTGCCCTTCACAAAAAGACTAAAATAAACTAAAAAAAGTCAACCTAAAAGCTCGCTAAAGGGAAAAGAGAAATATATAAATCGACAGGGCGAGGCTTTGCACACACCTTAGTTCACCAGACTGCAATGCACGCTGGAAGAAGCCATCACGCCAGTTCCTGGATCACCTTGTTAGTCTCCTTGGCTTTCTTACACATGTACAGCCATTTGATTATCCGAGCGTTGCGCTCGATCACGGAAGTGCTGCTCGGGACCTGCTCTGTGAGTTCATCCTCCAGCAGCCCGTCGTCCCCGCTGTGCCTAGTGAAGTCACTCTCGGACGTTGCCACGCTGATGCTGCGGATCTTGAAGGAGACGTTGTCCGACACCACGGAGAAGTTCTCTCTCCCAAGATCCTCGATGACCTCCTGCTCCAGGCCACAGTACTTGAAAAACGTATCAAACTCGGAGAAGGACTTGGAGTAGCGAGAACTGATGTCCGACTGAGAGCGATGGAGACCTCTCCTCTTCACCTCCTTGACCTCCTCAGGAGGTATACTCAGTTTTGAGGGTTTCTCATGCTCTTTTGTACATACGTCCGGGGCTTCGGTGCTCACGGCGACGGTTTGCTTCACTCCATGGCTGCTCAGCTCTCGGTCACTGTCTTTTGCTGAGAGAAGCTCGTTGCTTTCGGTGGCTGTGGTGTCCTCCATGACTCTGGGCATCGCAGGGGAAGCCAACTGCTTCTCCTTTACAGACCCTTGGAAGATCCTCCTCACCAAGCTCCCCCGTGAGCTGTCCTGGCTTTGACCTCTCCCAAACTCGCATTTCTGACGGTAAATCACCAGGGAATCCGGCCGCATCTGCCTCTTGGGAGTGCTGCGCCTGGCTATGGGGGGGCCGTGCTGCAGGGGGGCACGGCAGGAGTACACCGCCTTCGCCTTCGCCAGCTCCAGGGGCTTCGCGCCCTTCCCTCTCCCAAAGTCCCTGCTGATTTTTCTGCTCTCCACCGAACAGGTCTCGCTGCTGCTCTCGGAGGCCGAGCTAAGCACGATGACGGGCTCCTGCTTGGTGCTAATTACCTGCTG